GGCTGACTTGGCGGATAAGATCCTTGTCCATATTGCAGAAGAAGAAGCAGGAGTCAAGCGAGTAGTACTACTAGAAAGACCACTCCTTGTTGTATAAATGCTTACGTTCGAAAAGTGTGACTTTTCCGCCAACCTAATATGAGAGGATTTCTGAGCTTCATTGTCTTCTTTTGTCACTGATATAATGAAACACTTCCAAGTCGTTTATCTCATAGGCAACGTTTCGGGCTTTAAGCCCTTCTTGTTTCTTTGTTTGACTAGGTGTGGACCTGAAGAAGGGCTTAAACCCGAAACGTCGCTTATGAGATGAACGACTTGAAAGAGTTCCAGTTCATTGCACTCCTTTGAAAGGCACATTCATGCCACTTTTTCAGCAGCTTTTTACGTGGCCCTCGCAGCAAGCGCCTGCGCCGAAATACTCTGATAGTTAAACTCGCTCAGAACTTTTCGCTAGGAGTAGTCCAGTTACTAGAACACGAATTTGTCTTATGGTCACACCGCAGGCGACTCTGCCACCATGAGAGAACGGGTGCGAAAAAAGTGCATTGCACAAACGTCACATACCCGCCTCCCATGCGGTCGGATGGCGTGCCCGCCAGCTGTCATACCGTGAACTGGGACGTTGCTGGGCGTAATTGCCACCTCCACCGAGCCTCTGCCGTCCCCTTGGGTCGGACAACTCGTCCAAGCACTTATCACCTTCACTCTCGTAATTGATTGACCAGCACTGGTAAAGCGCCAACGTAGACGTTGAATTGCGAACTTATGACATAACTACGTAACACATTCATCCGCTTTTAAACTAATTTTCCACTTCTTTCCCCCAACCATCCACTGCGAACCCGCTATAAATCTGCTACTAATTATCAGATAAGCAAGTCTTTCTCAGGTGCTATTCTGTCCGGTAACGATGTGATTATCGACTACTCGTTCCTTTCTGTAAAAATATGACGTTACCAACTCAGTGGTAAGTTTTGTACAACTGCTCAAATACTTGATTTCCATGCTGTTGCTCGCTGAAAGAGCATAGTTTCATGAACATTATGGGATCATGACACATCTTTTCGTTTTGCAACAGCTCATTTCTCCCTATTCGCTCTCGTTCCTGACAACTGTTTTACATCTTCATAAACACTGTGTTCACCCACTGTTCTGCATCTACAAATAAGAACATCACATTTTCATTTTTTTTGTATTACTTACAAACTTGTACTTCTTACACTAGTGAATACGTAAAATATGTTACCTTGTCACTAGAACAGTTCAGTGAAAATTATTCTTCAAAACTCATCAATGCTCTGTGAAACCATTTTCGTGTATTCAACCCCCAACTGTATTTATGAGTAGAAACCGAAACTCTGACCTTGCTGACGAGTAACACTTCTCATTAATTACTGCCATAGTACGACGCTGCTGATTTCGTTTGATATGCCCAATGGAGACACAAAATCTCCCGTACATCTTCTTGAATCCCCTATGGCAGTAATTATGAGAAATGTCACTCGTCAGCACGGTCAGAATGTCAGTTCCTGCTCATGAATACAGTTACACTGGATGTCGAGATGTAAAAAAATGTTAGGAGATCTTAAGAGTAAGTCTTAACAAGGAAAAAATAAGCTGTGAGCAAACTGAGAAGAAGAAGTGTCGTGATCCTGAAACGGTCATGGAAGCATAT